TTCCACAAAAATTGATCTCTGCTCAAAGAAATCGCCTGCCTTGTTCATGTAAATTCCTAACGCTTACCACTTTATCATGAGGCATTCATGACTTCTTCACATCGTTTTATTTTGTGAAATACTACTTCATGATGTTAATCACGTTCCATTATCTTCGCTAGCTTTATGAATATTTATCCTCTTGGACTTCGAAATTCGAATTCTAAACTGCTCCAGTGATATTCTATTCCTTGAAATTCCTTGAAAATTCCCTGAAAATATCTTGTGTCCGATATCGCAATGTTAAATGATATTAAATGAAATGAAATGCTGTTAAATGAAATCCTTTTTCGATTGAATGATGCAAATGTTCCCGTGATTACAGGTGAACAGAAAGCGTCTGACGTGGTACTCGAAGACGACCTGGACGCGCATCCTCATCGCCCGAGCTACACTGAACTAAGCCCTGGACACGACCCAACTAGTGTTAGTGACCAATATTTTTCCATCATCAATTTATTTCTTATTTATAAATTTTCTTTTTAACCCTCCTCATCATTAGCGATAGATTAGAAGACATCATTGTTTTGTCTGTTGTTGATTAACACTCCGTTAATTGACCGAGTTAGTACCGTATCGTATTCGTTCACCAAACTTCATGTAGGGTATATCCTTTCGATATCGTTGTCTTCATAATCAGTTCAACTGATACTAGTCCTGGTGTCGTTTACAGACTGATCTGTACACAACCCATTCATCATCGCATACCAGCGCCCCTGGCTATGATAACGGTGAGCTAATCAGTGGCATTGGATCGAACTATCACTACGATCAGCACCAGTCGGCGCAGCTGCACGATGAGAACAGCCATGATAACAGCGGGCATACCGACGATTCGGGTTATCATTTCCATGAGAAAACGCCCCATGAAACCATCGAAAGTCAGCAGCATTTTGAACAAAATGAATCGATGGCTGAACATCACTATGACGAGTCGAAACCGATGAAAACGAAAAGCTTTCTTGATGATGATGACGACAATGAAGATGTTGTGAAAGCTGCACCAAGGTTTGTTGATGCAGGCGACAATAACGTGACGCAAAAAACCGATTCAACACTACCAGAACTTGGTGGACTCTACAGTTTTCACAGTAACAAGGAGTCAGAGGAACGAGATACTTATAATAACTTCAGCAATAACACTCATGAAGAGCATGATCGATTCAATGCTCATGAGCTTGATCATAATCGAAACAAAACTTATGAAGAGAACAAACTGGGCGACACGAATGGAAATGATGAAAATCAGAGACTTTATGGTAGCGGAAAGGATCGAGATGAAAATATCGAGGTATGCACAATGTCATTCATATTCTGATGCTTTTACTGTAGGCTCTCCCCTCAGGAAATTTCTTTTCATTACGCTGATTACATGGAAGTTGCGAATTTTTTGTAAATGTAACAGAGAACTCACAAATAACTACTTTGAAGAGACCAGTTACTCGTCATAAATCCAACAACGTAATTATAACGTTTATCAACAATTAATTCGCATTTTGTTCCTTGAGCGTTATGTAAACTACTGATTGTGGGATACTTCAGTTATTCGAAGCACTTATTGTCATATATTTAAATGTCCGATATAATAGATGGTTATCATGAGACTTACTGATCAAATTGTTCTGCTTTCAACGCTATGTTGCGAGAAGCTGTTTAATCTGATGAGTTTTCTACTGATTTCCAGAATGAGTCGAGGCTGTCCGACAGCAATAGGTCAACCACGCCAAAGCACGATAGTATTTCGTCAAAACTCGATAAATACGGCAGGACAGTCGAGGTATATTTCCGCATTCTTCAATCTTTCATCTGACTGTTCGTTTACATAACTCAGTGGTTTCCGTAGGGGTGAAATTACCCATTTTGGGTAATTTGGAGGTGCAGTTGTTATG